GTTAAAAATATTAGAGCCCTTCTGTTGGAGGACTATAATTGGGTTTTTCATGAACTTCATACGACATAAGAATATTTATGGCATCGTGCAAATTACATGCTGTACAAACTTTTATCGACATTCTTAAAAAAAACCAAGGTCTTTAGTTGTGTGAACTATGTTGGAGTGCACAAATCCATAAAACTTCTCGATGACCCTCTAATTCATGGCATTAAAATGGGTGTTTTTCAAAGCTCTATACTCGTGTTCATTATGGAATTCGAAATCACATCATTATTATGTTATAAGTAACTGGTAGGTTGGTCAGACTAAAACTCATAGATTTACAAAATAGTGTTGCAGATTAGTACTAGCTGGAGTCCAAGCAGAATGAATTTTTTTAACCATTGGAAATGTGTATGAGTTTTTTTGCACTGCACTCAAACCTATGAATTCTTGTTAACTGCCTTGAACGTGTTTCAAGTAGCCATTAAGATGTAGAGTGTGAAATTGTTTTTACTCTACTAGCTTTAACAGTGTGAACACTCGAAACTGACCACATTATCAAACTTTTATACTGTACTTCATGTACTGCTATTTGTGCAGCAGATAATGGTGTACTTAGTTGGCATAAAAGTTACCATATATAGCACGGTAGGCACGTACAATCTCGCAATCTGCACCGTACCAGTCGATTGTTTCGCGGTTTTAAACCTCTGTCATCTAATTTCAGTCACTATACTCGGCTAATGGGTAGTTTTGGAAAATGAAAAGTCAAACAGCATTACTGAGTTGTTTTTGTTTATAAGTTCTGAAAATTAGTGTTTTGGTGAGTGGAAACTAACATTTGAATCGGCATAGTTCATCAGGTGAGACTGTGTACGTGTTTACAAATGATAAAACTGTTTTCTTGTGAATAGTGAAGAAATTTAAGGTAATTACGCGTCGATGTTTTTTTTATTCAAAACATTTAATTTGCTTAGCAAATTTAAGTAGCATAACTAAATGATTAAGTTTCATCTGAAAAATTCGCCTTATTTGCACAGTAGAAATCAAAATGAAGCAGACTCAGTTGTATAAGATCTACTTTAAATATTTCAGAGAAGGTTTTGTATTCACGCCCCCAATTCAGTTGCACTTACAATCAGAATCTAGTTACAATATGTGTTACTTTAAGACAAACTAACCTATGGTCTAGACAGTTGGGAAGTTTCAAACATTTGCATACTTCTAGTAGTCTCTATGCTTCTTGTCTGTGTTGTAACTTGATGGGATCCACGGCTAGAGCTCTGCTGTATTTACAACTCTTTGTTTGATTGTGCTCTTATCGTAGAGTGAAATTCGCATGGATTCAAACACTAGAGCCGTTATTCGCTAGACCATTGAGTTACAAAAACCATTCCTTATCTAATGGCCGTAGGTATAACATGTAAAAAGACTCCATGTGTTCAACCACCGTTACCAGCACATGGGTAATATTGAGGTTGGGCGTAGAATTTTACGCAAAAAAGGAATCAGTTGGTAAGGTTTTACAAATTCATCGACTCAGGTGGATAGAACGTGTTACATATGTACCTAGTCATCTTCTGTCCCGTCACACAATGTTAGCTGAATTTGATTGAAACTAGAAAGAAGTCAGTAGTGGCCAAACTAAACGAGGTGTCGGTTATCTGAACTGTGTACACAAATGTATGTAGTCAGAGTAAGCATGGCAGCTGAAATCGGTGTTTGAAGATATAGTCTGGATAGATGTATCTATATATTATCGGAATCGTCATGTTGTACTTTTCTATAGTGTTGCCTCGTCTTCCTGTGACTTTCGATTACGCTTTTCGTGATTTATATGTCTTCTATCTTGGTGTCTTGTATCTTCATCTGAGTTGTAGCAACTGGGACTAGTTACACAGTAACGCTAAGTCTCATGTTGATATTTATTGACTGCCTACTTTATGAATCAGATCTATAACTAAAGTCGGAATAAAAAAAATATTTCAGAATGAAACTTTCACATATCTAGTACAAAAAGATATTAGACTGATATAAACAGTCTAAAAGGTTCAAGGAATTCCCTTAAGTGTGAATTGCAAATGAGGTTCAGTAAAAGTTAACTAAGTCTTTTAAAGTCAATGATGGAAATGTATGGGTGTAGAAGAAACGCTCATAAAATTCATTAGTATATGGTTAGGTTTGAGCTGCTTTGTGTTTCTCAAGCCTTTCCTTATCATCCATATCATAAAATGTATAGCTGTTTTATCTTCATCTGGTTAGCTTGACAATAAGTTCTATACGATTTAATTTTATCGAGTGTAATAATGCACTGAAGATCCTACTACTGTTTTAATTGAAGGTGAGCGTAATGTGTTGACTGCCATTAAAAGACTAGATAGATTTACAGGAAAGAGTAGGGCCAACTTACTTTGGTAGTGATTACGCGCAGTGGAATAAGTGTTTTTACGCTGTTTCGCTATCTGAAGATAAAATGACTCTTCACAAGCTTGTATTCTCAGAACGCTTGAGAACAGTGGGTAGAGAAGAGATAGCTTTTACTCTTAAATCACACTGAGTAATTCAACCTCATATGTGGTTTAGGCCATATGATGCATACGTCTATGCCAAAGCGTATTAAGTCAGTTTGCAAAACTTCGTAATAGCAGAAAGGAAAAAGTTAACAAGAGTAGAGAAGCGTTTATGGATAATACTGCAAGGAAGATGAAGCAATAAGATATTCAAGCCTCAGAGATGGAGAGAGTTAGTGAACCTTAGTCATTGATCATTTCTGAAGTATATCTCATGAAATCTCCAGTCAAATAACCTTCATAGTTCTTGCGGATAGTCAGTGGGACTGTTGCTCATTGGATTAGCTGTTTGGTTCTGAGTTCAAATCCTGCTTCGATATGAGCAACCAGGTAGTATCATATAAACTTTCACAAGTGTGGCTCACAAAATAGCGCATGAAAACATGTACCAGACTGAGGTGTATTACACTATCATACAGATAACCAATGATTCTACAAAAAAGTATCGTTGACTTATCTGACCACATTTTACTTTTCGCGAAGTAGTTATTCTCCAATGGTCTCATAGGAATAAATGCCTTACTGTATGTTAGACGTAGGACAGATATGTTACCTTCAACGCCCTTTTATTCACTCCAAGCAGTAATGTTATAGAACACTAATAAGAAAAAAAAGGAAGTTATCCTTTAACCAAGCTTTGAAACTGTGAAGCTTACATGTTTATGCAGCATATCCCTCTGCCCACTCTCTCGACATTAAATCAATATAACGATAGAAAAGTAGGTCTGTTCACAGTTGGATTGTTTTTATGTAGACCACTCAGCAAAGTATTTGGATACTTTCAGCTTATAGTTGTTATCCTAAGACGTCGCGAATTCGACCAGTGCGACAGATTTTAAGTCATGGAGGCTGAAAGCTATTTATTGTGAGTGGGGTAGCAGAAATATCGCGAATATCGGCTTGGAACAGCTAACAAAACACTAGACATATTATTAGCAAAGGGTTTGGTATAATTGCATCATGGTCCAAGTTAACACAATTTAAATTAACACGTCAAGGTAGAAGTTAACAAGAGGCAAACGACAGACTAAACTAATGCCACCAGAAGTCGCAGAGAGCTATAGGGCGGAACGAAGGGCGTTAGGAGAAAGATAAACGATATTATAACTAAGATGAATATAGCGCGTGAATGCATCTGCTACACTGCTATCGGTTCTGAACGATATCACCTAGTTCTCAATCGTAGATTTCGGTTTCCTTGTAAACCTTAATCAGGCAGCCAAGATTTATTAACACGGCTTAGATAAACCTTTGGACCCTTCATCGTCTGATGCCATGTCTTAGTCTGGTAACAGCTTTCTCCGAACCCCACCCTACTCCAGCTAGTAATATGCGTTCGAGGCAGATCAGCATGTGTAACCTACGTTCCATCTACTTGGACAAAGGCCCGTGCTATTTGAGGGCCGATCTTTGTCATCCTATCTTCGTGATCAGGAAGAGGCAGCACCAGGTTAAACACTTCAGCACCGCAACATTATGATTAAACCAGCAATTAAACTTCGGCGTGAGACGTCAAATAGTTGGGTGGCGTTTTGATCATAAAATTGAACTCAATTGCTTTTTGCCTCATCGCTTCCCAATAAACCTTTCTGACTAGTCAGCAGCTCAAGGGAAGTGTTCCAAGCAATATATCCCGAATGAGTCCATGCGACGGGTAAACCTGATATCCGGACAAAAGTAGCAACTGTTTTGGGGGAAAAACAGTTGAGTTTGCAATCCGTTAGTGATGGTTAATTAGTGACGAAAACAACGAAAAGACGGATAAAAGTATGCATTAGGCTACTTTTTTAGTAAAGAGACATCGATATTAGTTTGACTGCTCCTGTGTGAGCCAGTTACGCTGGCCGCTGCTCTAGGAATTTAAGTCTCCGTATCTGTGAACACCCGGCGTAGTCAGGAGCAAAGGTATGTTGAAGACTATTATAACCAACTCCATATCAGCACATTTAGTTCAAACAAATCATACAGTGGATTCCGATAAGTTGTCTTCTATTCTGTACCGAGTTTCTATCAACTTGATAAAAGGCACCCACCTGCGAATCCTTCAGACTGCAGAAGCAATGGGAATCAGGATTAAACAACCTGGGTTATGTAGGCAGAAAAAGCAGTTGTTACTAATACAATTTCCTTGACTCGGTTCAGGGCTCAAATTCTTTAGCATCCTACCCCAAGTAACCTAGTTTTCGATATCCCTAGCGTGAGAAACATCCTATCCAGCTACTATCCCTCAAATTAGCTATCTTTGTTTATTGCATCCAACTGTCATGCACACCTTCCCACTGCCTTATTAAACTATCACTTTATGGTATTACGCAAACCGTGTAATCGGTCAGATAATCAATTACTTTGGACTGAGTCCTAGTAGTAATTAATCCTGACATATCGTCCACACAAGACTTTTCTGAAGTGATTTTCGCAACTGTATGGAATTATTAACAAACTATTAGACGCAATCTCAATATTATCGACGCGAAATTACACATTATATATAACTGTAGGACCTGAATTAGAAAATTATCAAAAAGGATATTCTCTGCTCTTTCAGATGACTTTTAAATCATAATGGGGATTTCTAAGATGGTCTTTTCCACAAAAATGTTTTAGGTATTATTTTTTAAGTGTAGAAATGTCTACATATCTATTTGTTAGTAATTTAAACAATTTATTTAGGTATATCAGGAAAACTTTCACAATTATTCACATTCTGAAATTGAGCAGCTGGTGGAGGTTCACTTGTTAACAGATCCACAATAGTTCGGAGTAGTCGACCTTCTTTACTCGTTTCGTCCCAATTAGCCACGCTGGGACTTCTGAATTTTTGTTCTAATAAACTATCCATGCACTTTCGTAGTTCCTACAAAAAAACAATATACAGTGATGGCGATTATGTGATAACATATTTGATCAGAAATACAAATGAATGTAAAAACTCCCAAAGTTATATTTCCATTTGTTAGTCATTATCACACAGCAGTTCATCCATTTGTTGAAGTTAATGCAGCTGGTTAACAATGTTTAGGAAAAGTAAGTCACGAAATCGCTGAGAAAATAAAACGAGGATCAGCTTAAAGTAAATAGCTACTATCATTGTATGAGTGATGACAGTTTTTATCATGTATGTCAACTGCTTACTGGTTGTTAGAAGGTCTATCGAAATCTTTTGGACAATATTACACTTATTGTTTCCATCTTAGGAAGGAAGGTTGAAGCAATGATACGTATGATAATAGCAGAATAGGAAAGAAGCTTAGCTATGCATATCAACACCACAGTACGCTAATGTACACGAAAAAAGAAAGCACTTAAGACAGCGAAAAGTGGGAAATAGGTCCCATATTCGATTTTTCAATCTGATTTATAATACACAGTGATACAGTATTATTTATTTGATGATGTATAGAGCATAAATTACTGCTCATAATCACACTACTTTCGACATCTGACTTTTATAGTCCTGTCACCTCATATTATTTGTTTTTATTGGTAGTAGGATTTTCCATATCTGTGGTATATGTGTTGCGTCAGTTCCACTACATGTGCTGGGTGTTGATTTCACAAAATGAATCACGTTTCACAAATCATCGTATTTTCAGTATTCGCTGCATGAAAAATCAAATTGTTCCTAATTATCTTCTACTACGTATTCCGATATTTACTGACAAAATCAACAGAGCAATAGAACATGTCAGCAAACTTTGTCTCAAGGAAGAAATTCATAGGATTATCAGGAAGTTGAGTACTATACGGCGTAAAATTTAACAAATAAAATGTCAACTTTTGAAAATAGTAAGCAGTAGAGACTATGAATTTCTTATAAAAACATCAGATGAAGCAAGACTAGCTGCTTTCGAGAAATCCAGAAACAGTCAAGTCAAAAGTTTAACAAATTAATGGAAGAAAAATATCCCTCGGAAAAAAAATCAAATTACAAATGAAGCATCCATAGGACAAAGTGGGGTAGTCAATCTCTCCTTGAGAACCTCAAGCTCAGCTGAAATGAAAGCACTCGAAAAAGGACTAGACTTCAACGTAACAATAGGTCATCTAAAACCTAGCATAGAAGGAGCATTAAGTTCCGTGAATGCTGCAACTACTGAACAGGTTAGAACAGTGTGCATTAACACTGAAATAACACAAGAGGCAACGAAACTTAACTTGAAAATTCAACTCTGAATAATCTACGAAATGACAATAACATAGTAATTGCTAAATCTGATGAAGGCAACTCAGCAGTAGTTATGGATAAATTGGATTATTTCAACAAAATTGACGAACGTATCCAAACACCACCATATGAAGAGATCAAGAAACCTTTAGACACGGTCATCAACAAAATTAAGAAATCTACAGCCGATTCGAAACGCCGACCTAAAGCCATCTCTAGGTGAGTCTAAGCAGTTAAATTTAGTACCGAAAACTAACAATCCTAGCAGAATTTATGGTACTATAGAGTTCATTAACCGGGTTATCCCATAAGACCCATAGTTGACTCCAGAAATACTCCAACATATGAACTAGCAAAGTAATTAGCATCGATACTGTGTCCTATTAGAAACCGTTCAAATCCCAAACTAGTTAACTCTTAAGAGTTAAAACTAAGGCTTAATGACCTACATATACAAGAAAATGAAAAAAAAATGGTTAGTATCTGAGTAACACGTCTTTATACTAAAATACCAATCAATATGACAGTCAGGGATCAACTAAATATTGACTCAGAACTTACAGAACTAAAATATCAGTTGATGAGATCATATAAGTGTATACAGTTATGCCTGACCTCCACAGTCTCCAAGTTTCAGGACAAAATATATAGACAATCAGGAGGAGTAGCAATGGCATCACCAATATTCCTAATCGTAGCAGATATATTTATAAATAGTTGGGAAAATATGGCTTTACAAACGTTTAGTTCTGCATAATAAGATTTGATGGTGATATGTAGATGACACATTTACTGTGTTGAAATCGGAAAATATCGACAATTTCCGCACACATATAAACTCAGTAGTGGACACAATCCAATCCACTTACGAGGTGGAAAATAAACCAGGAAAGTTACCTATGTTCGGTTGCAGTATAACGAAGGACAGATGGTGGTTTGAATACTACCGTCTACAGAAAACCTACACATTCTAACAGGTATCTAGACTTCAAGCCATCTCATCCTATGTCCTTTAAGACAGGTTTAGTCAAATGTCTAAATGACAGAGCTAGAAAACTGACTAGTCAGTGCTAAGACCTAATCGAGTAACTGAAGCATGCAAAAGAAGCGCTAATAATTGATAATTATCCCTACAGTTTATTAAGAGATTCGTACGAATATACAAGAAACGAAATAATAACAGTTACACAAGTATGACTAATAACGACAACATGAGTAGAAAGGAGTTCACAGTCTCCATCGTGTTACCCTAGAAGGAAGGTACATCAGAAACGTTACGTAAGATCCTCAAAAAAGCTTGAATTAGGGTGGTATTTAAACCTACTAACTCACTCAGAGGTAAGCTTTGTCGGCTGGCTTAAGGATCCAATAAATTCGGTTAGGCAAAATAATCTAATCTATGTAATGACTACGAGGTCAAACTAGCCGATCGGGGTCAGTTAGTATAGCGGAACATAGGAACTTAGTCAAATATAGAATGACAGATCCGAATAAGATAAATAATCTAGAAGATAACACGGCTATTGCAATGCATGCATTAACACAACCACACAATAGCTTGGGTGGGGTAAAACCACTGTACTTAAGTTCACTATAATTAGGTGGAGAGAGACTGATTGCTGAATATTTGTTTATCGAATCAACACCCAGCACATGTAGTGGAAATGACGCAACACATACCACAGATATGGAAAATCCTACTACCAATAAAAACAAATAATATGAGGTGACAGGACTATAAAAGTCAGATGTCGAAAGTAGTGTGATTATGAGCAGTAATTTATGCTCTATACATCATCAAATAAATAATACTGTATCACTGTGTGTTATAAATCAAATTGACAAATTTAATATGGAATTAAATTCTACAACATTGCCCACGTTTTACACTTATATTAATGGATAACAGGTCATTGGAAGCAAAACGTGCTTTTCAGATGATGTCAAGATCTATTTAAAAACACAGAAATATGGTAGGGTGTTTCGACACACCGTTTGCTTGCCAATTCTGTTTTCTACGCTAACCAGCTTTACACGGTTAAACTAATATAGTATGTTTATATAATGCGTATGATTGTTAGTGTCGCAAACACGATGATATGACTAAGGAAGAGATCAACTGTCAATTTGCAGTAAATTTCTTTTGGCTTTTTAGAACTTTATTTTCCTTCCCTCAGAAAGTTAGAGGGGAGTTAAAAAATAAACAACTTAGCAGTATTCAAAACGCATCAAAAGGAGAATAATTAAATTTAAAGACTAACGTCTGAGTAATGAATCCTAGTTGGTAGATGTGTAGTATGATTTGAATCAACAAACCAGGCGTTCTAACGAACGAATACAGTAGCAGGTTGTTCTTCAATCATCATCGACGGTTAGGAGCTGAATTACAGTAGTTTAGAGAGATGACCACCAACCATTGCGTCACGGATTCGAGCCCCGCTCCACCCCCCGTGGTTTGGGCAGCTAGGTAGTATCAAGAGATCTCACACAATAAGTGTGTTCCATTGCCTACTGCACGAATATGCACAAAATAGCTGAGCACGTTTCTTCTTTTTTTCTAAATTAACCACCCGCTCTCATAAGCTTTCTCTTCTACCCATTCTTATGGAATTAAGCAAGCTGAGATTGGCATGATTATCTCAGTATACGTTTACCACTCACTGATAGCCCACTAAAAATGGTCGTTGAAGTGTAAAACGATCAACTACTGTAATATGTTGTAGTATGGTTACAACTTGGTTCTCATATTCTGTTCCTAGTAGGATCGTCAGTTTTCTAAATAGAACGAATGTCTAGATTTAAAAGTGTAGTGTAATATATTAGTAATCATTGTTAACTAAAATCCACGTAATGGATTTCAGGAAAAAGATTGGAACTTATAAATGGAAGTAGGAATCAACTGCCACAATCTGGTTAGCATTAGTAAGAAATCAATGAACTTACTTTCAACATATTGACTACTTTCAATTCGCCGCTGAATTTTATCCACTCATCAATTGTAAAAAGACTTTTATCCTCCTATACAGGTAAACAGCAAAACAATAAGCGGAAAAGCGAGGGGATGAAGCTAATAGTGACAATTGCGATGCTAATGATGAAGAACTGAACGAAAAGAAGCAGCGAAAGCAGATGGATATAAGAAATCAAATGCATAAAATAAGCGATTTTCATCCAACTGCGCATGACCCTGAGCTGTGGCATTCACGGTCGATGTGGACTATCTTATAAAACATAACGAGAAACCCTACAGTTTCATACATAGGACAAACCAATAGTGAATCAACTAGGTAGTTTATTAGTCTGACTATCTAAGATGATCGTGGTTTGGTAGACTTGTATTAGTACTCAGAGATCGCTGGTTTGAATTCTGCCGAGGTTCAGACTCCTATTTCACCTCCAATCACCATCCAGTATTAATAATGCTATTTCGTGACCTAACCAAGCGGAAGTTTCCTCGGTCTAATTCTACGTCACACAGATGAGTGAGGTGAGTAGTGGCTAGGCTTGTGCACCAAATGTTTTATTAAGTTGATACATGTTCACAGTCTTACCAACTATTTTAATTCTGCTCAGCGGTACACACTTGGTATCAAGACTATCCATTCTTGAGTCTCATCGAACACAAGCAATACTTCGGAGGCATCAGTAACCGAATACGCATAGATTCCGGGGATCTCACATATAGTTAACAAGCTTCACCATTATATAGGTGGTAAACACGGTGAACAATAAAGTCAGTTTTTATTAGCCATTTATCCTGCACCCTGTATATAAGACCACCTCAGTGGTCTATACAGTCGACTATCAACTGGTGTGTAACAGCGTTCGAACCCAGCTACACCTGGCAAGATTTGGATAGCGAAGTGGTTTAGTACACACACAAGGGTTGCTCAGAGCCTAGTGCACGTGACTGCGGGTAGTTATTGAGTTACATACCTCTACATTATCCTGCTTCCTAGGTGTATTTAATTAGCCAGAGTCAAACAAACATTTTGAAGCAGAGTTCAACTATCAACTAGGCAGGGTTGATGCGGCAAATTCGCTTCCCACTGCGCAGTGAGGTGCAAATCACTACTGAGGTAGAATTTCGCACAAACGTGAGAAACACATATACATTTGTATTTTGCTTCCAGTCATCAGAAGTAGTTACATTTTGTCAATGTTCTCATATGAAATGAAAAAGTCATCCGTGAAACATATATCAATTATCAGGTTAAAAGATAAGAAATTAACTCTCTGAAAGTTGGTTGACGAAAGTTGTTTTGATATTTATGCTTGTAGACGCAGTGGAAAATTTTAAGTCACTAGTAGGTAACTGAAAATAACAGGTTTCCCAGTTGTAAACGTAAGATTAAACAAAAATGCCTGGTAACGTCTGCTTTAAGTAGGTAAACAATAACCAAGAAGCAAATACTTCGTCTACACCATTGTACCCATGAAGAAGAAACATACTGAATAGATGAGGATTTACTAAATAAAAGAAAAAGCGAAATAATGAATACCTTTATATAGTTCATTTTTCCCGTTATGAAGGCTTCTTTGTGTCATGTTTTAACTGTCCACTTTTACCTTAGTAGAACAACTTTGGAAAGCACCGGTTCATTAACGATTCCATACACGCTTTTCTAATAGTTGCATCCAATACAAAACCCCAGTTCATGACTTCGTGCTACTGATAATCAACCATCTGACACCAAACAACAAGGTCTTCCTTAACCGTATGTTCATTAAAATACGACAGTCTACCTGTTCCAGTATTCAGTATGACAGTGAACACATTTATATGCATAAAAACGTCATATTAGGAAGTTTATTTGATTATTCCTCAGATGTAAAAAGCGATAAGTCTTTTTCCGCGTTCACATATAACGTGAGACTGTAAAAACTGTTTTACATCAACAGGTGATCAAAGTTATCCACTTCTACTGGTAACTGGGTACTACATCAAGTTGTTACGTTACGGAATGAGTGAAGTCATACTGTAACAATGGATTTCGCTGCTTTGAAATGTATCATGTACGCCAATTGAAGGGTTACTGCATGCAATATAATTTGCTGAAGACGAAAGAATTCAATTGGTAGGAACGACAGTTATAAGTGCTTGTGCTATGTGATCTTTAAATCTGCATAAGACTTCATGGAGCTGAAATAATTGCGACAACTTTTTTTCTACGAAAATAAACAAATGTTCAATACAAAAAGGCTGATGAAAGCTTACCCGTAAATATTTATTTGTAGTGGCTTTTTCCTTTCAACAATATTATGTCTCATCTTAGTTTTTTGTAGTATCTCACAACGCCCTGGTATTATCTTTTTATAACCCATCTATTGGCGTCACAGATGGCACTGCCTACTGGTCTTTAATCAAAAAATAATAAATAGATGCCTATTTCGTTCTCCTGAAAAGAATAAGAATGATTGTTGACTGTAGTGTCAGTAAAAAGTAAGATTAAAATGTTTATTTTACCAGAAATAGAATTCGGTCTCCCATTTTGCTATACGCTGAAACGTAATTGTGAGAATAAGTCGTTATTCTTGTAAAAAGTTACTATCCTCAGAGAAGACAGTTCTGAATATGCAACGCTTATAATCAGTAATAAAATAAATAATAATTTAACATACCTTCGATATCTCTATATTCCCAGTGAAGAACAGCAAAGGTCTTAATGATACAACAGTTGAGTCAAATATTGTTGGACACTAGAAAAAGTAAAAAAAAAAAGAATTTAGCTACAAGAAGTTATTCTGCTTTATGCAGTAAAAAGTAGTATTGATTTGGAATATTTAATAAAGTCTATGCATTAGCTTCTGTCACCGTTTCTAAACTACTCAGTTGATGACTATACAGTATATTGAAGGGCTGTTCCTGTATAGAGATTCGACTAATGATAATTCAACCTTTGTTCCCCAACAGCTTGAGATTGCGTTTTGTACGAAAAGTATCTCATACTTAAAATATAAGTGATACACACTGCATTAAGCCATGATTTGAGGGTTTCATGTTGATGATGTTGACATCATATATTTCAAGGCACAAAGAATAAAGATTAGATAAACTCCGGTTATATTAGTTATTTCATCTCATTACGTAATAACAATCAAAACAACGTAACAAACTGATGTTATGGAAGGGTTACAAGCTATTTATATCGCATATTAATCTCTGGGGAATCGACTCATTGGTTCATGAAATAAACTTTCCACTGGAAGATAAGGGGTTTGAGCCCAAGTTACCTATACACATGCTTCAGTAGTTATCGTATGGCATAATTAGCCACTACACAAACTATTTGTCTAGCAGTACATGAATGAATAATGAGTTACCAGTCAGTATCAACGTGTGATCTGGCATTACTGCGAAGATCCAAGCTGCGATACCTCACAGAAGTACATCACAGCAGAAGGCAAAAAGATGAAAGACAGAGTAGTCATAAGAGCAGAGAGTTGTGAAATGAGAACAAGATGGAATGGAACAATAGTGGGATCAGAAGATAATGTGTGGATACATCTGGGCTAGTGAGATTAGTTCTGAACCGTCAACGAAGACCACTTTTAGAAAATTAATTTGCATTAGGGTGCTGAGAAATGCATCCTGAACATTCTCAAGGTGCCCCAAAAATATACATATACACGTAACATAACTATGTTATCTGTGTACTCTAAATCGAAAAAGGAGTCCCCTAGAACAATATCAATCCCTGTAAAGTCGAATGAAGAAAGGGAGAATTCTAAAGTTACTTCTGTGACAAAATTAAATGAGAATGCGGAGAGCAGACACCCTTGACGGACACCTCTCAACGTACACAACTAACCACATGCTCTAACACGTTAACACATGTCTGAATGGAGAACCTTGAACATAGTGATGTGGTTACCGAGCTCCTCCTCCAACATTATCATGAGACCCCTCCATTGAAGGAGTCAAATTTCACCTTCAGGTCAAGAAATACACTTAATTTAGGTTGCCAGGAAGTTTACGTGTACCAGAACCTGGTAGAGGGTGAATATCTGGTCCATAGACTCATGAATAGTTCTGAAACCCGCTTGACTTTCACAGGTTTTCTGTTTCTGAGCCTCATTTAGATGTTTAATGATTATCGAACCTAGAGTGCTAGACACCAAGTTCGTCAGAGTGATGTCTTTGTATCACGGAAGGATTTCTCACCTTACTTAAGGACTAAGTCGGTGATTGGACACAGTCAGATGGGATTATATTTGATTGTCATACACTAGTCGCCACTAAAGTTGATGTAACCGGCAATCCTCAAATATCTGTGATGCTACACCATCATGGCCCGCTGCTCTTCGTTTCCGGTTACTCACAGCCCTCTCAACTTTTCAAGAAGTAAAACAACGTGTCTAAATGTTTCTTTCAGGATTCAGCTAGATAGTAAGTAGTGGAATAGTAGCTGAGGCCCGAATTGGATGATTTATCGTGTGGATGAATCAAGTATACAGGACGTGCCAAGTATATGCCAGATTAACCACGTGAAAGGTGGGTAGATCACATGATTTGAACAAGTACTACTGGGTAGAGAAATAACACGTCTTCCTGCGACTAAATCGCCGACTCCACTTACTCCGTTATAGTCTCACTAACCAGTGACTTTCCTAACCTAGTTCCCTCAATAAATTTCAATAACTGTCTACTATCACCTATAGTGTCAACCATATGCATTGGTAGATTTACACCCATTTTCTTCTGCACAACTTTTACTAGCAGTTTAGTAAAATTATTTAAGAAACATATTTCATCTACAGCCTAATTTATGTTCACTTCAACTATGCGCGAAAACCTTACGGAATGCTTTCAACAAAAAGCTCTTCCAAGCGTTTTTGAGATGAGAATTCAACACAGAAGGGTTTTCAGTCAGGAGGTAAAACATTGTCTTAAAGTTTATACACTTTCAGAACTAAATAGTAGATGAGATATTTTCAACACAGACGTTTTATTATAATATGCACCTAACCTACTTTAATCAGTTTTACGCCCATTTAGCAGGGATTTTACAGTTTCCTTTATTTCGGAGAATATCCACAGAATATGTATCAAATGATTCCTAAATCAGTAACACTGACCACTAGATTTTAATAACCATACATGTTACACAGAAGTCTCTTACTTAGTAAAAGCCAATCCTTTTTGCCGAAAACCTATTCCTTCTAATAACAACAAGTGAAGGTCAAAGACCCTTATCCATAGATTACTGAAATATCTTTAGATAAAACGCAAAAACCATCGTAAACATTATCTTGGGATAGTGCTCACATTTCCTCAATCTACTTTTTTGCACTCTGAGTGGTCTTTACTATCAACAATGTTCAAGATTTCCCAGATGTTTCATACTCGTTATGCCATAGGTGAAAAAGATGGAACTTGATATGAACATACGGGTACCACTTTGTTGTGCTCTCCAGTTTAACGGGAAGGTTAAGCAACTAATGCACACCTAACTTTATATCTCGACCCAGTAAAGGCTTTATGTAATACGTTATGAACCAGGAGTTAGAAAACCATGAGGTTACCCAGGTCAAAGTAGGTGGGGAGGAGTTAAAACCCTACATATACTGCTTGAAAGTCAAGTGCCTAACGCACGAGCCATCGCTCTTTATAGGTCCCAGTACCGAACTAAACACATGAATGACTAGTTGGAACCAAACATAATCGAATTAATCACTATATTTTCTGATGGAAAGATGAAGTCAAGAGAATATGCGGTACACGTGATAGAAGATAGCCCTATAAAAATAAGCTGAGAAAACCCGAAAGTTATACTACCTAAGAAATCAATAAGACTTCTCACAATTATAGACGCCGATAAAACTGACATGGTTTAAGACACTTTAAACGTCTTGATTAAAATGCTAAACGTTGTAGTGATGAAAGAAGTGAAGTGAGCAGAGAACAGGTCATTGTCTCTTATCTATGCCACTAAATATCCCATGGGGAAACTGAAAACAAGTAGTACATAAACAAAGATTTTCTAGTTCAGAATTTGGCATAAATTTTAACCTCTTCCTACTCATGAATTATTATTATCCAAGAATTCCGATCGATACAACTAGGGTTCACGGGGATGCATCAAACAAATTTGTTTAAGTTTGCATAAAGACTTACATTCTTTCCCAGTACTCAAATCAAAACAAGTATTTTGCTATAGACGGATCACAATAGTGATATTCTGATTAAAAAACAAATGCATGAACCGCTACAACGTCTTAAGAATAATTCATAGCATTACTAGAGAGCAGCGCATGTGTAAACGTAACTCATTCCAGTGGAGGAATCTTTCACCGTTGACTGAGCATCCCTATAGAGCGGACAATCAGTTTTCCTGTTTAGCTTCGGTAAGAAATACACAGCAAGAAGGTAATGAATAGGCTTTCTACCAGAGAGATTCTACGCTATATGCATGACACGATTTCGAAAGGTAGACTCAGGTGTCCTATACTTCCAGCATATTCAGATGCAACAATGATCAACAGTTATTTGACGACCGAAGCTATGTTTTATGAACCAGTTGACTTCCTATGGATATCGGATAATACTTATTACTAGAGTGAAGTTCGTACATTTTTCTGCTACGCGGTAGGTTTCTACGTAATGGATTTTCTTCATTCTAGGGAACAGAATTAAGAACGGCTAAAAGTGTGAGTAATCAGTGTAAGGCTTTAGGTGTGATGCAAGTAAATGTGAAATTTATTTCGGCCACACAATGGTAAACGCAATTTCTCCATGTACAACACGTTCTTGTTTAGAAACTGTATTCATCTACTAAGTTTTTACACATGCATAGCATCAGAGATAGAATTTAACAAATAACAACAATAATATGAGAGCTTTATTGCCAGTTATGCCTTAATTTAGTTGACCTGAAGTAACCAAAACAAAAGTTCATTTAGTATTCCGACGTTTTACAAATCGTTATATATAAACATGTGAACGAAGGATCGGAGTTTTGTTTGATCCGACCATCAGTTTGGCAGTTCTATTTTATGAGTTTAACCTAACTAACAAATATGTATTCAGTGGATAGATACAGGATTCAAATACCGCTACTATTCAGTCGATGTTTGCTCGAAATCTCTTTCACTGATTCACCTTCATTACTTATCGTTCTACAACACTACTGCTTACTAGATAGTCTCACCAAAGGAGGGCAGCATTTCGAGGAAAATGGATAAATGAATACTCGCAAACCTAGTGAACATTCTCAACCTGTAACTAATATCTTACAAAAGTAAACTAGAACAGAAAAGTGCTATGAGTGATCTTTTCACTAGAGGTTGAATATCTTATCAACAGCAGTTACAATAAAAGGTAAAACCAGTCTCCTGTACCTGTATGTTTTAACAAGCAACGCCGGTTTGAATCCTCAGGAAATGAAGTGATCAATTCCCTTCCTATTATTGGGCCCCGGTGTTTGTGCGAGACGGGTCAAAAAAGTATCCTCATGCATTTCACAGGTGCTAATCATATACTAAATAAATTTTGAAAATTTGAGTTTCAATACTCAAAGTTGCTTAGAGGAGTTTTCGTTAGGAAATGAATTCTTAATGAATAAAAGATAAAAGGGATTTGTTTTTTAAGGTTGCATCCATCACGGACTGACACCAGTTAGAGAACCATTGAAAACTTTCGAGCATGGGACAGCAGTACGCATCAACAACCCGGCTAGGGATCAAAACCAGGACCTTCCAGGTTCACGACGAACGCACTAACCATTTAGCCACTGGGTTAGAGTTCAGTGGCTCACAGTTTCCCGCTTCTGTCAATTTGCAAAACAGCCAGGTCGTGGGTATGTGCTGCAGGGGAGTCCTGTACTACGACGAAACAGCTGTCCGGTGCTCCCAGGTTTTCAATGGTTCTGTAACTGATGTCAGTCGGTGGTCAATGCTACTTTGAAAAACAATAGATGAACAAATTCTTATAGGAAATTTACAGATCAATACAACCAATCATACCAACATGTAATCAGACAATATAGTGGTAATTACAGCCACATGTTTTGTTTACCTTTTCACTTTTTATCATTATTGGGTCATGCATAATAAACACATAAATTTATAAGAAAATAACTGCTTTCATAGTAAATTTAATTCTATGAAATTTGAGCTACTAACCGAATTCTGTGATAATTTATGAAACAGGTGAATGAACATTCCTAGTGAGTAAAGATTGGAATGCAACAGGAATAGTTAAATATCTATCTATGAACCGTTAGAAGAGGCGGTGAAGACGGGACTTCAAGTGCATGTAGAGAAGACAGAGGTGATGAAGATACCCAACCAACAACAGCATCAACAACAAGAGGCACCAATCACCATCAACGGGAGAAACCTAAAGGAAGTAGTCTCTTTCACCTACCTAGGCAGCATCGTTTCAACTACAGGCGGCACAGACGAGGACGTCAAAGCCAGCCAGGATCGGAAATACAGCAAGACAAGCCTTCATTAATCTGAAATCAGTGTGGGGACCCACTGCACTCAGCACAAAGAACAAGATCCGAATTTTCAACACCAATGTCAAGTCAGTGCTGCTATGTGGTTCAGAAACTTGGCGTGTCACGAAAGGCATTCCCAACAAACTACAGACATTCATCGACAGCTGCCACCTACGCTCACTCGATACTGAAGATCAAATGGCCAGAAAGAATAAGCAACAAGGAACTCTGGCAACGAACCAAACAAGAACCTATTGCCCAACAGATATGCAGAAGAAAGTGGAGATGGATTGGGCATACACTGAGAAGGCCGACTGGGGACATCACGCGCCAGGTTAGGCCGTCGAGTGGAACCCAGATGGAAAGCGACGAGTTGGGCGTCCGAGGCGAGGGTGACATGGAGGATATCGTGCGAGGAAGAGATGAAAGCTTGTGGGCAGTCGTGGAACCAGGTTCAAAAGACTGCAGAGAACAGAGTGCACTGGAGATGTGCTACTGAAGCCGCATGTTCCATTGGGAACCCAAGGGATAAATAATAATAATAATAATAATAATAATAATAATAATAATAATAATAATAATATAATCAGTGTTACTGTTCACTTAGCATACAGCAATAATAAGTTATTAATCAATTAGTTAGATGAGTACGTTGGCTGTACGTCATTCACTTAGTTAAGTAACTGATTTAACGATTACCCTGCTAGTCAGTTGTTCTCAGCACTTCAAATGATGGATTTCTCAATTATGGGGTGATAAATTCAAATTTACTATGTTGGTCTCTGAGTGACTATTAAGGCGACCCTAGCCACAACTGGCGTGACCAATTAGACTTTGCAGCCGAAACAAAAAACCCTGATTGGTTATTTCGATCATTGCTAGGGTGGTTTTCAAAATCGCCCTGGTTCCTAAGTGAAGGATAACGGTAACTCATAGTCTGGTATAAATACAAGTAAGTGGTCGTCATATATCGACTGCCGTTGAAACTAAATTACAACTGAGATAATTTGCAGAAACCTTGAAAGGCCACCCTAGCAGCTGATGAAATAGCCAATCAGGTTACGATATTCCGGCTGGAAAGATTTTCATAAAATACAGAGATGTAATGAGTTGGCTGAACAGTTGTTAGAGTGGCCCAAATTTGCATATATATTAACTAGTCTCACCACTAACAGCCTTGGTACTGTGTTTTGTCAGCTTAAACTACTCCACTTTCTCAGAACACACGTCTCTAAATAATTTGGAACAGTTTAGATTTCTGTACTCCAAAATAAAAGCAAAGTATTGAACCTTGCTTGCTATGACTGGATTAATCCAAATACAATGGGTCCTAGCAAACTAGTATTGTGATAATTGAAAGTTTTTTTGTTATCTTAAATTTAGTTCAAAATGCATCATTTGACCAAAAAGTAGTCAAACTCATTGTACAAGGATCCGCTTTTGGGTATCAATTAACCTGTTTTTCCTCAAGACTGATCACACAAAAATATTCATGCGTGATGTGTAAGAGAAATGACCATTTATCATGATGTCATGTGTTTTATTTAAAAGAGTTTTGTGTCAACTATTTAGATGATTGATATTTTTACACGTGTACTGAAGACTAAATAAACTGAAGTATCGCATGCACTGCGACATATCTATTAAACACGTTATGTTCCCTTTTGACATTTCAACAATGAACTCAGAATAATAAAGGGAAACGTTATCTTATATTGTCTTTGATATCATAGCTTGTGAATCTCTGTCGTTGATTGGACCGAATTCATCGGTCTCTTTTGGTATATGGGCTCCTGTACGAATGCCTCGATGTTGTCGGTATTTTCAAATTTGACATTATTGATGGAAAGTGGCTAGCAGTGTAATCTAGGGTGCGCGTTTCATTCCGTTTGGAACTCATCTGCTGTGAGTGATGTTCTTCCCGAAGCAATTGGTCCTGAGTTCGAGTTTCAGTGGGAACAGAATCGCTCACTGCGATGAAGGCACATCCAGATGACAAGTCCCAAATACGACGAAACGTGCGTCCTGTATTTCATTCCTAGCCATTGTCCATTACTGATATCAAATTTATTTTATATTTCCCGAGTGGAATGAAATACTACTTTATTTTAATTTGTACATTGGTATGAAATTAGACTAATGCCCCTCATCACATGGGCGAAAAATATACTACTTTTAATAATCTTATCAAATCGCCTACTTTTAGAAAAGTGAATTTACATGACACTAGCGTGTGAATTAGTAAACGCTTGTTTCAGTTTGTAGATCAGTTGGAATGTTAACACTGTGCGTATTGAAAAATTGATTTCGCTCGAAAGAACCCATTGTAATTCACACATGTAATTTCAGCTTTTAATTCACGTCAGTACAAAAATAATGGTAGGATAGTTTGCTGCTGCGACTACTGCCAGCAATGTTACTACTAATCTGAAATAAAAACTTTAAGGAATTCGTATTTGCAACGTGGTCAACTGTCAGGTGGATAACTGCTAATCTACACGGTGACTACACATCAAATATTTTCATCCTTGTAGGTGAACAAACAACGCAAGATACAGAATCAGTCTTTCGGAACGAGAAGTCAAAAAGAAAAAATAACTAAATATGCATGAATAGCTAATCAGTGTTTGCAAGAGAAAACTGAAACTGTCAACGTATGAACGATAACAATAACAAAAGTGATTTTTTCTTAAATTAACATTTGGCAATGCGATCCAAAACCTGTTTCATCCAGTTTGAGATTTATCACAGCTAGGTAGATATATTAGGATTACAACAATCACATTCATAGCTCAATCAGTTCTAAAGGTTACCACAGATACTTTTCCAATTGGATTTTATAAAGGAAGCTTGTTTCAAATAAGCTATTTGTAAAAAACTGAATTATTATGGAAATCTTACTAGACAAGATATCTAGCTACCAATAAAAGAATAAGTATGCTGTGCAGCAATGTTTTTGTGCTAATTTTTAGCTGAGACATGAACGTTGAAGGCGATTTGATTATAAGTATCTTCAGATTACAGCTCATTTATGATGGCCCCCTAGAAGAGGAATGCTGAAATTAGATGTGCCGTTTTGAACCAAAAAGCTGAAGAATCCAATGAAATAGTAAACCTATATCCCACCAAGATGCTGAAGTACGTATCACTACTACTAATTAACTACTACTTATCAGGTGATGTAAAGTTGATTAAAGGAGTAGGATAAGAAAGGCAATTATATGAAATACCCATAGAAGTGGCTCGATGTTTTGTTCCTAACATACAGATATACGCATAAATACAGAGTTAGTCATCCCCTCTAAGAAAGTTCTCAACAAAAAAACTCAACAACAATTATAGGTATAGAGCGAAGCATTCAACTTACAGAACCCAAATCAAGTTTCGTTTTTGTAAAATATATCATCCACAACGGTTCAGTTGGCTGAATTTTACTATTGACTGAAGACGGGTGAACACTGGCTTTACCCTCAGATGGACATGCCATTATTGCTGGTAGTTTAGGTCTTCCATCTTTACTGAAAATACACACAAATATATACACACATACAGAAATTTGTCAAAATAACACCTAAAAGATATTTTATACACGTCGTAAAGAGAAAAAACCTGCACACTAAGTTTAAGATATTTCTCATTTATTTTTATGTTTAACTACAAAACAATTGTGTAGAACATTAGGGTGACAGTGCATTGATTAAAGTGGTCACAACTCTAAACAAAGAGTATAATGTCACAGCAAACTAAGCGAATGACATAGAACAAGTCATGAGAAGGTTTGGGACGACAAGATGTGAATCCACCTGTACTAGTAGTAAAAATTCGGAGCTGAATAACCCAAGTCCTTCGACTACTTGTTCATATTATTATTTGAAATCTAATGAGACAGTTTGATGTCTTGTGTACACCAAAAAGCATCAGTCAAGAATCTGGTGAACTGGCGTCCAGTTTTAATTTTACACGCTCCAGGTATTCTCGATAGTATTTCAAGTGAAATTATATACGAAGGTACGAATTCTATGGATACGCATTAAAGAACCCATATAGATACATGATTCATAGTGAAGAAACAGAAGACAACTCGACGAGAGAATGCTTTTTTACGAACAATTGGAATGGTAGTGGTTACATATGGTACTCCTTGCACTAACGCAGCCATTTGCAAATGTCTTCGTTTCCTCTCCGTTCCTGTCTTGATTTGCTCTTGACCGGCTCTTCATACACTCTTATCAGCAGGATCCCATGTAATACGCCTGTGTTGTCCCCTGCGTTGCTCTTGGCAGAAACCCTACACATTGCCGGTAATTCCCTATGATTCCTGCCACCCTCTCCATATATACTACTTATATCCGTTGTTATCAGCAACGCCCACTACAATAGTACCATAGTCCGTTATCTGTAAATCTACGTCTGATTAGTTTTCGATAACACACAGGGCATTTTGTAAACCGGCAGAATCCATGCGAAAAACAATCAATCGTTAACTGAATGCCAACATTTATGATTTCATCATCTAACGGTTAAGACAAATGATATGCCTTACTGATAAAAAGATCAGATGTATGCGAGAAAAGATCCAAGTAACATAAATGCAAAGATCTCATGTTGTGGTTTTTCCCACCTTATACAGTCCGCATAAATACCAACAGAAATTACTACAGAATAATAATATTTTACTTGTGTGAGAGAAATAAACATCAACATAGGAAGAGATATTATTACGCAACTGTCCAAGTTGCCACACCTTATATCAGCACATCAAGCAACAAAGAGCAAAAATGAACGAAAGATCAAGAAACAGAAAAAACTCGGTCAAATGCAGTAAAAGAGAGGAACAAGGAAATGCTGAATTCAGTAAAACAACTATGATGGAGATAATTCGTGGATACATCTGCATTATTGATATCGATTCCTAGTCATGTCAATTAGAGTTTCAAACAATTGGTTTCTGTTGTCACATGGACCCAACTGGATGGATCTAGCATTTACCCACACAACTCGGATACTATGCTGATATAGACTGATACATACTACTTTTATACATTTGACTCCATTGAAGGTTCTATTTAACGAACAATGGTATTTATGAAGGTTTTTGGTCCATATAAACCCTAGAAATAAAGTCAATGTTGTTACTCTATGACAAGTGTAGGTAGGCAGTTTTCTGCAAAGTTCACAGTATCCTTTGTGCTTTATTCCTTATCCGATTACTTCAATTCATCTTTAGGCTTTGACTTATGTAAAGTGCTTATACTTCAATTGTGACGTAAACTAATTTTTACTGCTTCTTTTATACACATATCGACCAGCATAACATACACTAGTGACTTGTTCCTATTGCAAGGATATAAGAGCCGTTCAACAAGTAGAACACTTCTTTTCAATTTGTTTAGACAGATTGACACCCTACTGCTGCTATTCAGTCTACTAAGCCCTGACGTAGGCTAAATGACATTCCAGCAAGCAGAAACTTTGAGTAATTTCTTGCTATTAATGTTAAACAGAACTGAACGATGTAAATCGAGATAAAAATTAATTGACAAAGTAAAAGCTTACTTAAATCTTGGATCAGCTTTGACAATGTTTGGATAGAGCCCTGCACACATAATAGCCCGGAAAAGACTAATATTCCCTAGTGAAGAAAAAGATATATAGTAGCGTTATATGTATAATATACTGGAATAGTGATTCCAATTTTTAAAATTACTGGCCTACCGTAGAGTTCGAATAAGGAAACTCTAAATTAATTAAAAAAGTATGTTTTAACATATGACTGTGCAAAAATAAACAGCAAGAAAGAAAATTATCAAATGTGAAACATTAGCTACAGAAAAATGCTTCCTTGTCGGTGAAGGATCCATGCAGTTTTGTACCTATTGGTCTCTTGTAAATAAGAAAAAAATATACATGGCTGATCGTTTTTTAGAGAAACGTTTAGGAAATATTCGACGGTAATAGGATACTGAACAGAAGACTTTCTCCATTTACTTCATATCCTAAATTTTCACAAGTTAATACACTACTGCTGACTTTTCTAAAACGAAGGATGACAATGTGAAGGAAATCGATTCCAAAGTGTATATCTGTACTTAGGATGGAATACAGTAGTTAGAATATATGAGGAATAGTTTTCCTGATACAAGATATTCGAATACAGAAATAAATAACTAGGTTATCAAGCAAGTTTTTCCCGTTATCCTCACATATATGAATCACAAAAAGCTGTCATTCTGTCCATCAGCTGTTAGTTAGATTCAGTCAATAATCAAATGTTGATTTAGTACTGGGATTAAAAAAATCAGTGTACCGAATCATAAGGTTAGCAACTAATAATAGACAGGAAGTGTATTAAATGGAAATCAATATTTTAAAACATCAGCCGATAAAGCAAGAAGTTTCGGTTGTCAATTTTTCTTTTATGTCACTGTGTGGTCGGGAAAGTCCTTATTGGACTTGTTCTACAGTTGACCAATCAAAAGAGGATTTAGGTTTTGACATAGTGGTTTTATATGTTCATAAAAACCTTTACATAAATGATGTATTTTTGTTGGATGAAGTGTTCTACTAACAATCAAATGCGCGTTACGCCTTTTGATTTTTGAGGCTACGTGAGGTATAAAGTACTGAGGGAAAATAGTTGCTATTCTTATTCAATCCAAGTGTCACATAACGTCAAAATCATTCGCGTTCTAATTACTGCTTCACTCAGTCACTTCAAACAGTAACAACAAAAAGAAAACGAGTCAACTTATCACCACACCCTACATAGTCTAAGTGCTGCGGATAGAAAATTAGTAGCTGAACAAGCAAATTGATCAATTTCTCATTTATTCATAACGTTGCGGTGCTGAAGTGTTTAACCTGGTGCTGCCTCTTCCTGATCACGAAGATAGGATGACAAAGATCGGCCCTCAAATAGCACGGGCCTTTGTCCAAGTAGATGGAACGTAGGTTACACATGCTGATCTGCCTCGAACGCATATTACTAGCTGGAGTAGGGTGGGGTTCGGAGAAAGCTGTTACCAGACTAAGACATGGCATCAGACGATGAAGGGTCCAAAGGTTTATCTAAGCCGTGTTAATAAATCTTGGCTGCCTGATTAAGGTTTACAAGGAAACCGAAATCTACGATTGAGAACTAGGTGATATCGTTCAGAACCGATAGCAGTGTAGCAGATGCATTCACGCGCTATATTCATCTTAGTTATAATATCGTTTATCTTTCTCCTAACGCCCTTCGTTCCGCCCTATAGCTCTCTGCGACTTCTGGTGGCATTAGTTTAGTCTGTCGTTTGCCTCTTGTTAACTTCTACCTTGACGTGTTAATTTAAATTGTGTTAACTTGGACCATGATGCAATTATACCAAACCCTTTGCTAATAATATGTCTAGTGTTTTGTTAGCTGTTCCAAGCCGATATTCGCGATATTTCTGCTACCCCACTCACAATAAATAGCTTTCAGCCTCCATGACTTAAAATCTGTCGCACTGGTCGAATTCGCGACGTCTTAGGATAACAACTATAAGCTGAAAGTATCCAAATACTTTGCTGAGTGGTCTACATAAAAACAATCCAACTGTGAACAGACCTACTTTTCTATCGTTATATTGATTTAATGTCGAGAGAGTGGGCAGAGGGATATGCTGCATAAACATGTAAGCTTCACAGTTTCAAAGCTTGGTTAAAGGATAACTTCCTTTTTTTTCTTATTAGTGTTCTATAACATTACTGCTTGGAGTGAATAAAAGGGCGTTGAAGGTAACATATCTGTCCTACGTCTAACATACAGTAAGGCATTTATTCCTATGAGACCATTGGAGAATAACTACTTCGCGAAAAGTAAAATGTGGTCAGATAAGTCAACGATACTTTTTTGTAGAATCATTGGTTATCTGTATGATAGTGTAATACACCTCAGTCTGGTACATGTTTTCATGCGCTATTTTGTGAGCCACACTTGTGAAAGTTTATATGATACTACCTGGTTGCTCATATCGAAGCAGGATTTGAACTCAGAACCAAACAGCTAATCCAATGAGCAACAGTCCCACTGACTATCCGCAAGAACTATGAAGGTTATTTGACTGGAGATTTCATGAGATATACTTCAGAAATGATCAATGACTAAGGTTCACTAACTCTCTCCATCTCTGAGGCTTGAATATCTTATTGCTTCATCTTCCTTGCAGTATTATCCATAAACGCTTCTCTACTCTTGTTAACTTTTTCCTTTCTGCTATTACGAAGTTTTGCAAACTGACTTAATACGCTTTGGCATAGACGTATGCATCATATGGCCTAAACCACATATGAGGTTGAATTACTCAGTGTGATTTAAGAGTAAAAGCTATCTCTTCTCTACCCACTGTTCTCAAGCGTTCTGAGAATACAAGCTTGTGAAGAGTCATTTTATCTTCAGATAGCGAAACAGCGTAAAAACACTTATTCCACTGCGCGTAATCACTACCAAAGTAAGTTGGCCCTACTCTTTCCTGTAAATCTATCTAGTCTTTTAATGGCAGTCAACACATTACGCTCACCTTCAATTAAAACAGTAGTAGGATCTTCAGTGCATTATTACACTCGATAAAATTAAATCGTATAGAACTTATTGTCAAGCTAACCAGATGAAGATAAAACAGCTATACATTTTATGATATGGATGATAAGGAAAGGCTTGAGAAACACAAAGCAGCTCAAACCTAACCATATACTAATGAATTTTATGAGCGTTTCTTCTACACCCATACATTTCCATCATTGACTTTAAAAGACTTAGTTAACTTTTACTGAACCTCATTTGCAATTCACACTTAAGGGAATTCCTTGAACCTTTTAGACTGTTTATATCAGTCTAATATCTTTTTGTACTAGATATGTGAAAGTTTCATTCTGAAATATTTTTTTTATTCCGACTTTAGTTATAGATCTGATTCATAAAGTAGGCAGTCAATAAATATCAACATGAGACTTAGCGTTACTGTGTAACTAGTCCCAGTTGCTACAACTCAGATGAAGATACAAGACACCAAGATAGAAGACATATAAATCACGAAAAGCGTAATCGAAAGTCACAGGAAGACGAGGCAACACTATAGAAAAGTACAACATGACGATTCCGATAATATATAGATACATCTATCCAGACTATATCTTCAAACACCGATTTCAGCTGCCATGCTTACTCTGACTACATACATTTGTGTACACAGTTCAGATAACCGACACCTCGTTTAGTTTGGCCACTACTGACTTCTTTCTAGTTTCAATCAAATTCAGCTAACATTGTGTGACGGGACAGAAGATGACTAGGTACATATGTAACACGTTCTATCCACCTGAGTCGATGAATTTGTAAAACCTTACCAACTGATTCCTTTTTTGCGTAAAATTCTACGCCCAACCTCAATATTACCCATGTGCTGGTAACGGTGGTTGAACACATGGAGTCTTTTTACATGTTATACCTACGGCCATTAGATAAGGAATGGTTTTTGTAACTCAATGGTCTAGCGAATAACGGCTCTAGTGTTTGAATCCATGCGAATTTCACTCTACGATAAGAGCACAATCAAACAAAGAGTTGTAAATACAGCAGAGCTCTAGCCGTGGATCCCATCAAGTTACAACACAGACAAGAAGCATAGAGACTACTAGAAGTATGCAAATGTTTGAAACTTCCCAACTGTCTAGACCATAGGTTAGTTTGTCTTAAAGTAACACATATTGTAACTAGATTCTGATTGTAAGTGCAACTGAATTGGGGGCGTGAATACAAAACCTTCTCTGAAATATTTAAAGTAGATCTTATACAACTGAGTCTGCTTCATTTTGATATCTTCTGTGCAAATAAGGCGAATTTTTCAGATGAAACTTAATCATTTAGTTATGCTACTTAAATTTGCTAAGCAAATTAAATGTTTTGAATAAAAAAAACATCGACGCGTAATTACCTTAAATTTCTTCACTATTCACAAGAAAACAGTTTTATCATTTGTAAACACGTACACAGTCTCACCTGATGAACTATGCCGATTCAAATGTTAGTTTCCACTCACCAAAACACTAATTTTCAGAACTTATAAACAAAAACAACTCAGTAATGCTGTTTGACTTTTCATTTTCCAAAACTACCCATTAGCCGAGTATAGTGACTGAAATTAGATGACAGAGGTTTAAAACCGCGAAACAATCGACTGGTACGGTGCAGATTGCGAGATTGTACGTGCCTACCGTGCTATATATGGTAACTTTTATGCCAACTAAGTACACCATTATCTGCTGCACAAATAGCAGTACATGAAGTACAGTATAAAAGTTTGATAATGTGGTCAGTTTCGAGTGTTCACACTGTTAAAGCTAGTAGAGTAAAAACAATTTCACACTCTACATCTTAATGGCTACTTGAAACACGTTCAAGGCAGTTAACAAGAATTCATAGGTTTGAGTGCAGTGCAAAAAAACTCATACACATTTCCAATGGTTAAAAAAATTCATTCTGCTTGGACTCCAGCTAGTACTAATCTGCAACACTATTTTGTAAATCTATGAGTTTTAGTCTGACCAACCTACCAGTTACTTATAACATAATAATGATGTGATTTCGAATTCCATAATGAACACGAGTATAGAGCTTTGAAAAACACCCATTTTAATGCCATGAATTAGAGGGTCATCGAGAAGTTTTATGGATTTGTGCACTCCAACATAGTTCACACAACTAAAGACCTTGGTTTTTTTTAAGAATGTCGATAAAAGTTTGTACAGCATGTAATTTGCACGATGCCATAAATATTCTTATGTCGTATGAAGTTCATGAAAAACCCAATTATAGTCCTCCAACAGAAGGGCTCTAATATTTTTAACAATTACTTCTCCTACTAATTATACAATCTGCTGGGAATGAAAATCATTAGAACAGCTAGTTCCCTCACCCTCCTAACAACATACCTTATATGGAGTCTGTCCATGTGTTTAACGCAATTAGCATTCTCAGTCATTCACAGATTTTTGAAAGTATCCCAACAAGTACTTCGCCAAGTCAATTTTGTAATTGTCTCGTAGTTGTTTCCATGACCATATCTAATAACTGCGTCACCTAGATTGATTGGCGAACGCATAACACTTATTCAGGTACTTCGTTTTATTTCTCTGCTAGTAACAATGAAGCTAACCTCGCCTGGTTAACGAGTTCATTAGTTACTAGTCGGTCCTAAGCCCGGGTAAAGAAGGAAGGTTGGGCATAGGGCTAGCAACCCTACCCCGTAAAACAAATCCAATCGCTAAACAAACTTCAAAGCACAAAGAAAATATTGCAAATAAAAATAAACTTATTCCTCACTGAAATCGGGGAGACAAAATGACTCGGGTTGGTGAAAGCCTTCGGGAAGCCAATCGACCGATATGTCTTCCCTCCCTCGATGAAAGCGAAAGTAAGAATGGGGACATGGAATGTCAGCACCATGTATCCACCTAGCGAGGCTGCCCAGATTGCCACAGAGATGAGAAGGAATGGCATAAAAGTGCTTGGAATCTGCGAAAGTAGGTGGAATGGAAGTGGACTCTCCAAACTGTTAACTGGAGAGTCAATAATCTACGCCGGTCACTCGGACGACAACCACGAGCACACGGAGTTCTGGAGTGGCTATCATGATGTCCCCTTCTAGAGCATCAAAGGCTCTCATGCAGTGAGAATCAATCTCCTCCTGCAGGATAATGACAGCAGGATTCAACTCAAAAGGAAGGAAAGTCACAGTCATACAATGCTACGCTATGCATCTACAAATAATGCAGATGAAGAGACAACTGCAATCAGTACTGGACAAGACCCCACTTCAGATGGAAACATCAAAATTCCAATGGGCGACATGAATGTCAAACTCGGAGTGGACAACACAGGAAGAGAAGTCATCATGGGTCGAGAAGCACTAGGTGAAATGAATGAGAATGGAGAACTGTTTGCAGACTTCTGCACCTTCAATGACTTGATGATTGGAGGCAGGGTGTATAAACACAAGAATATTTACAAAGCGAGCGACATGGATTTCACCAGATGGACACACTAAAAACCAGATCAACTTCATTTTAATCTGGCGAAAGTGGTGACACAGCCCACTGGACACAAGATCAAGAAGGGGAACAGATGTAGGTAGATTCATACCACTCACTATCTAGTGCAAGGAACCTGCCTTCAAAATCAAGTTGATCGCCTTCACGCAAGCTGATGATAGACCACAGTTTAAGTTCAACACCCAGAACAGAAACTGAACTGAAGGACGAAACTACAAAGGACATCTTCACATCAGTCATCAGGAAAAAATGGGTGACATCCCCGAGGAAACCCACGTGGGAGAACACTGGAACTCTGTGAAAGCGACGTGGAAGGAAACCTGCATAACCGTGTTAGGAAGGAAGAAGAAGTAAGACAAGTAATGGATCTCGACGGACACATGGAAGCTGATAGAGTAGTGAGAGTAAGATGGTGAGGCAGAAGATGAACCGGTGGAGTGCAATGCAGGGATGAACAACGAAAAGAGGAACTGAACACCACCTATAAAACACTACACTGGACAAAGAAGTGAAGAAGAGTGCACGAAAAGACAAAGGACACCTCTACAACACACTTGCAAGTGGAGCAGAACAGGCTGCAGGTAGGAGATATAGAGACCTGACAACACTATATCAAATAATCAGGTTACTAACGATCTAGGAAGAGATCAACGCAGACGAAACCAATGAAAGATTGTGAGGGAAATCTAGTTACCAAAGAGGAGAAACAAAGGAAACAATGGGCTGACCACTTCAAAAAAACTAGAGTCGACAACCACCACCACCTGCAACTCGTCCACAAATACCACCAGCAACGGCAGAACTACAAGTGAATACAGACCCTCCGACAAAAGCAGAAGTCCTGAATGCCATAAAACTGCTGAAATCCGAGAAGGCAGCAGGACCAGATGGAAGTCCTCCAGAAGCACTGAAAACAGACACAGAGACAACAGACGACATGCTCACATCACTACTGAAGAAGGTTTGGAAAGAAGGAAAGGTACCTGCCTATCGATTGGAAGGAAGGCTATCTTGTCAAACTCCCAAAGAAGGGAGACATAAGCCTTTGCAAGAACTGGCGTGGAATCATGCTCCTGTCCACCCAAAGCAAGCAAATATTATGCCGCATCATCCTGGAGAGACTAAACAATGCACTGGACTCAAAATTACGACCGGAACAGGCTGACTGGCTTCAGAAAGAACAAATCATGTGTGGATCAAATTGCAACACAACGCTACGCATCATCATAGAACAGAGTACAGAATGGCAGTCAACTGGAGCTTTACCTCAACTTCATCCACTTTGAAAAGGCCTTCAAGAACGTCGACCGAGAAGTAATTTGACAACTGCTGCTTCAACACTACGATGTTAGTGCCACAAATCTTCATCAACCTCATTCAACAGCTATATGCTATATGAGGATGCCACATGCCAAGTGATTCACAATGGAAAGCTCAGCGACGCCTTTGAAGTGAAGACAGGAGTAAGACAAGGTTCCCGCCTACTATCACCCATGATCTTCCTGATTGTGGTCGACTGGATCATGCAGCAAACCGTGAGGAGCGAGAAGATGGGCATACGCTGTTTGACCGATGAAAAGACCCTAGAAGATATGGATTTCCCCGACGATGATTTCTGTCTAATGTCTTGTGGCACAAACTAGAACATCTACAGGCGAAAACTAACAAATTTACAGAAGAGGCACGGTAGCGAAGACGGGACTTCAAGTGCATGTAGAGAAGACAGAGGTGATGAAGATACCCAACCAACAACAGCATCAACAACAAGAGGCACCAATCACCATCAACGGGAGAAACCTAAAGGAAGTAGTCTCTTTCACCTACCTAGGCAGCATCGTTTCAACTACAGGCGGCACAGACGAGGACGTCAAAGCCAGCCAGGATCGGAAATACAGCAAGACAAGCCTTCATTAATCTGAAATCAGTGTGGGGACCCACTGCACTCAGCACAAAGAACAAGATCCGAATTTTCAACACCAATGTCAAGTCAGTGCTGCTATGTGGTTCAGAAACTTGGCGTGTCACGAAAGGCATTCCCAACAAACTACAGACATTCATCGACAGCTGCCACCTACGCTCACTCGATACTGAAGATCAAATGGCCAGAAAGAATAAGCAACAAGGAACTCTGGCAACGAACCAAACAAGAACCTATTGCCCAACAGATATGCAGAAGAAAGTGGAGATGGATTGGGCATACACTGAGAAGGCCGACTGGGGACATCACGCGCCAGGTTAGGCCGTCGAGTGGAACCCAGATGGAAAGCGACGAGTTGGGCGTCCTAGGCGAGGGTGACATGGAGGACATCGTGCGAGAAGGAGATGAAAGCTTGTGGGCAGTCGTGGAGCCAGGTTCAAAAGACTGCAGAGAACAGAGTGCACTGGAGATGTGCTACCGAAGCCGCATGTTCCATTGGGAACCCAAGGGATAAATAGTAATAATAATAATAATATAATCAGTGTTACTGTTCACTTAGCATACAGCAATAATAAGTTATTAATCAATTAGTTAGATGAGTACGTTGGCTGTACGTCATTCACTTAGTTAAGTAACTGATTTAACGATTATCCAATAGGAACCCAAGGGGAAATCAATGATTTCAATTAAACAATGCGAACACATTGTTGTTGAAAATTTGACTTGAAAGGACTATATAAGTTAGTCTTTGGGTAAATGGTCTGTAAAGGAAATATACATGTAATGTCACAACAAGATAGCGAAATAACGTTCAGATTTTTCGCTACCTTTTGCGGGGTGCTTTTACATTCGTAGAAGAAGGGGCTTGGTAAGGTCGCAAAGCGTCACTGTTGATGTGTGCAGGAAGTTGTGTTTTAACAAAACAAACAGGTAGTTTTTTTTAGTACTTGTAATTCCCTCTTGTGATACAGGGTCGAATTGCTTCGCCTCGGTTGACAGAAGGGCTCATATGGGGATGCCTCGACACTGTATAGCAACGAGAGATTACAAATTCTAAACAACAACAAATGACACCCTTTCACAAGTAGTAGATCTCGTGCCCTAGTGGATAATGCTATGGTGTTTGATGTGATGGGTACCGGGTCCGAGTCATAGTGTGAACAACAAGATTCACTGGGGTGCAGGAAAATCCAGCTGACAAGTTCTAAATAAGACGATATGCGTATCCCAGATTTCACTCTGAGTCACGAAGATCAATACAAAACTAGTTAGTTTGTTTACGAATATCTATGATGAAAGTGATAGCTTCTGTTTACCATCAAAAGCAATTAAGATCATGCGTTTTCCAAAAGAATTACCACATGCAGCTCACCAGCACCTTTTCCACGTAGCTGAATTTGCAGCAAAAAGATTAATCAGTCCAGAACTTTGCATCCAGACGAAACGCATTCATACAGTACTCTTCCCTTTGCCGTCAATAGAGTAAAAGCTGCTCCTATCATTACAGATGGTCACGTTTTTTTCCTTCCTTTCCTTCTTTCACTATCACATTCTTTACACATAGGTTTTCTCAAATTTGACGGAGTTTAAAAAGATCAATCTGGTTATAATCCTTAATCAATATTCCATTTCAGAAAATACAATCACCGCGAACTTGGCCTGCATTACAGTGAACATAACTCCATTTTATAACTGTAGAACATGAAGAGAAATTATTAAACGAATATTCCCCGTACGATATGCCTTTCAATACATTAAAACTGAAAAGTTTAGTACTTAGAAAACCTATAAGTGAAGGACTCCATAAAAAGTTGTTCACTAAGATATAACATAGTAACAGGGAGGTGGGGGGGGGGATCGAAAGATTTACGATTACTAGTAACTGCTTCATATTTGTGATACAACTGACTCAATGAATGCTTTACTGGATTAAGCATCAACCCTATTGACTGATTACTGCTAAATTCGAAGCTACAGTTGTAATAATACTGGATGGTGATTAAAGGTCAAATGGAAATTCGCCACCGTGACAGCATTTGAACAGCCGACCTCTAGTATCAGTGCAAGTCTGTGAAACCAGTGCTATCTCGGATAGCCAAAGTGATAAGCCTCAGTAGTAGTCTGCTTTTTGTATACAGATTTATGTGAACTAAATTTTATGAATCAAATTTTAACCATCTGCAGGAAAATAAATTTCTGTAGTAAATCAATATGGGTGCTATCAACTAACTGAATACAGATTTAGTTCATGCGTTGAATATATTAGCGTTTACCTAAATATACTTTAATAAGAGGGAGAAATACAATGAGACAGACCATTTTCTTAACGAATTTAGATTAACAGGACTAGTAAAAACTAGTGATTTATAGTTGTTAGTAGTGAAATCCAAAAAGCACAATTCACCCTATTTCGGACTCATCAGCTGGATGCACCTGGCTCCCAGTGAGTGATGTTATTCTCACTGAGACTTGAACGTAGAACCTATTGTTACAAACACCGGAGCTTTATCAAATAGGTCACTAATTCATAATGGCAACTCCTTGGCCTAATAAGCAGTTAGGACGGTTTGTTTAAACCAACCAAAAGAAAGTGATCAATATACTTATGCACAAAATTGCATAAGAACAGTGTGTTTTCATCAAATGAAAACTATTTTCACAACAAGAAACAATGATTTATTTACAGTTCTGGTATTTCCCAGTGAATGAAAACGATATTTATACCGAAGTAATGAATATTTACTTACAAAATGACTAGAGGCTTTTTTTTACTTTTTGTTTTCTAACACCTAGAGTCATGTTTCCGAATAAGATATATACAGAGGTTGGTAGTGATAAATGATCATTACTTGCAAACAGTACATGCATTTCAGTGTACTTTACATCACCATTGACGTTCTAGTTCACTGGACTACAAAACTAGCAAGTAAACAAGAACTCAATTTTACGGTGAATGCAGTGGTATGATTTCTTAAAGATTATATGTAAATATTAATATTTACATTGTCTGAAAAAAGTTACAATTAGGTAGGTTTCAATTACACACGACTTAAACTGACATTTTCAAATAAAGCAGACTGAATGTGCGCTTCATTAAATCTCGATTCATACAAATTCAAACTCACTGATGGCAAATCGTAAAAGGTCAGAGTAACCGGTAAGGACAGTTGGATCAATACCCATTGACGAAGCTGCGATGTGTAACGCATTATAATAACAAGCAATGGATAATAAAAAAGTTATTCAACACCAGCATGCTTACTACTAGAGTCGAGAGTTATGTGCTAAATCTTAGTGGTGTAGAAGAACACAAACTTTAAAAGAGGAGATGTCCTGAACTCTTCAGTGTTCTGCGTTTGGTCAATTGAATTTGCCTAGTGAAATAAATGTTGACATCAGTTAGAAAGGATAAGGTGGTTGCAACACCAATTTAATTCTCAACTATATTAGTCAGTGTATAGCGCATGATAGGTCCATTTTTACGAAACATTTTGGGTATAATTATATGCTCTGATAGCGAATTCACAGAAGCTTGGTGATTTTTCTCATAATTTCTCACTATACGGAAGTAAAAATTGGAAACTGAATAGTCCAACGCATCAACTGTATGAGACAAGGAGTAGAGATACCAGTACAGTAATGAATGATTTGCTTTCTACGTCGTAAATAAGTGTCAGTCAATCTGACAATTAGAGAACCCGTAATTACTGCATAACTGGTCGTCTCCACATCTCATATCAGCGAACCACGGAAGAAGGCACTAAGATGAAAGATAAAGTCAGGAAGCAAACAGTCAAAAGTGGTAGAAAGTCAGGGAAACAGAACAATGCAGAATGAAACAAAAATGAAACTAGATATGACAAGTGAGATGAAGATAATCTGTGAAAAATCTGCATCATCGATACTCAGACATATCACCTAAAGTCACTAATCATCGATTTTGGTTGTCACATAGACCCCAACCAAGAAGTTTACATTCACTTACATGGTTAGGGCCAACAGTCAAAGACTGCATGAACTGATACCATGTTTTAATCTGGCAGCGTTTAGCCAGTCAGCCTAAACCTGCATAAGTTAAGAATAAGCATACCAAACACATGCTCCAGCCACCTCATTCGATGACGGTAAACAACTGACTTACCTCTACACCAACTGACATGGTGACACAGACACATGACCTATGTTATGAAGGGAACACCAGCCAAACAGCTAAAGCCTCATGTCATCTATACTTGGTAGCAGTGCTTTACAGCCATACAGTATAAGAGAAGGAACTGCAGTGCATCATCATCATCATCATCATTATCAACATAGGACCAGGCATTACTGCGTAACGGTCCGAGTTGCCACACCTCATATCAGCACATCAAGTAAAAAGGTAGTGAGGTGAAGGATGAAGATAAGTGAATGCAGTCAAAAGAAATATAAAGTATGAGAAGAAAGGAAAGAGGAGTGACAAAATAGTGAGATTCGGTATAGCGTTGTTAAGATGAGGATAATGTGTGTATACATCTGCGCCACTGACTTCGGTTCTGAGCCATATCACCTAGGGTCTCCAACCACTGGTTCCTCTTGTCCCGTGGACCCCAACCACCTAGTCTGCATCGTCCTACATGGCTTAAACCAACAGTCAGAGACTTCATACATTGGTGCCATGTTTTAGTCTGGCCACCTCGGGCCTTTTTCCAGCCTGGACCCACCTCAGCCAACATTGTGTGACGAGGCAATCGGTGACTGGGCATACGTAGTACGTGTCCCAACCATCTCAGTCGATGAAGGTTCACAACCTCGTCGACTGACTTACCTCTTCTCCCTAAAACTCTACACCTAACTTCTGCATTACTCACATGGTGACACCACGGAATACGTCCTATACTACGAAGGCAACGGTGGTCAAATACCTGTAACCTTCTCATGTCTTCCACTTTCAATGGCCATGTTTCACAGCCATACAGTAGAACAGAGCGGACTGCTGTGCAGTACACGCGACCCTTAATAGACAAACGAATATCACGGCGGCGCCATAGGTGGCGCAAATTGGCAAAAGCCAATCGAGCCTTTTGTATCCGTGCAGAAATCTCATCGGCAACTAACCCACCGGAGTTGATCCTACTTCCCAGGTAAGTGAAGTGGTCAACACACTCAACCACTTCACTCTCTATTGTTAACCGCGGTACCGCTGAAGACCAGTCCTGGAGCAAAAATTTGCATTTGGGTGGTGAAAATCGCATCCCAAACATTCTCAGTGCACTCCACTTGGATATCATGGCGGCATCATAAATGGCGAAAGCGAAGCGAGCCTCTTGTTTCGTCGGTCACTCATCCACCAGGACTGATCTGCCTGGTTAACGGACTAAAACACTTCACTTATTTTTGCGAGACAAGGGACCACTAAAGATCAGTCATGGAGCAGCAATTCGCTTTTTTTTCGTGAGAAAGGCATCCCAAACCTGATAAGATCGCCACTCAAGGTGTTCAGGAAAATCTGCACCTAGTTAGCGTCTTCATGTGAAACGACAATGAAATCTGCGTACTCTACGTTCACTAGGGAGTATGACGACAGCGTCATACCCTGTAAAGTCGAGCGACGAGAGAAAGACCTCGATAATTATATCTATGACAAAATTGAGTGAGAATGTAGAGGATGGACATCTTTGACAGATATTATTTGATGTAAACATCTCACTTGATAACTCATCGCTAATGCATTTTTGAACACAGAACCTTGAACATAGCGATGTGCTTACCAGGCATCTTGTTTATCAAGGAACACTGTCATAATACCCTTCAATCGATAGAGTCGAATTCTGACTTTGGGTCAAGAAGTACAGTTAATTTCGGGAGCTGGTAAGTGTAGCCATGTTCCAGAACCTGATGGAGAGTGAATATTTGGTTGATATATCCATAACTAGGCGTGAGACTTGCTTGATTTTCTCTGGTTTCCTGTTTCTGGGCTTCATTTAGACATCTAATGATAACAGAACGTAGAACATTAGGTACTATGTTCATCAGACTGACAATCCTGAGTTTTTTTCTTCTTTTTACGACTGGGACTATCAGTGATTAAGACTAGCTATGGAACATCATATCTGATTGAGATGTGCTAGTCAATGCTCGAGCCAATCTGGTCTAAATTCATTGACTACCGTCCTTAAGTACCTCTGCTACTAGTCGACTTAGTCCACAGTTCCTTCTTTCAGGTTACTTACAGCCGTCTAAACATCTTAATGTCATAATCATGAATCTAATTAAATCCCATAACTGATTCTTATTTGGTACAGAATCAGCACCACCTTGTAGCAGTAGTAAATACATGATAAAATTCGATTCTTCTTGACGGAAAGGAAAACGCAATCAAAAAATAACTGAAATCTATAGGCAAATATTGATATACTTAAAGAAATAATAAAACCTAGTGACTATATGTAGGTTGACTTTCTACACTGTGAGCTGTAACTTCCGTCTGACCCATAGATCTAAGCACTCGACTTCCAACCGATTAGTAACGGATTCGAAATGCGCTTCACCAACGCATGTCTAGGCAACCAGGTAGTATCACCAGTCTTAATACAATAGGTATGGCTCATTGCCTACTGTACGAACGTGCAGATGATTGATGACTGCGTTTTCAGTGGATCTGAACATTTTCTCCTGGAAATGATGACAACACGTGTGTCCGAACCCAGAGAGATGGAGCATGTATATATCATACTTTACTAAAAACGATACCTACAACTTACATTGGTTACGATTGCCATCGGAATCACTGGGATTTGGAGTGGCGATATACTTTCGTTCGTGCAATAACGATGCATAATCGAACATAAGCCGAATAATCTCCTATAATATAAGAGAAATGAAACAAAGCAAATAAAAACAGTGTAATTACAAGACGAAGTTTATCTGAACAATGTGATGTATTCGCACAATACATTTCGAACAATTTGATCACACATTTACTTGTCAAGTCAATATACATTAGACCGAGGACTGGAGGGACAAATACAACAATTAACACAATAGGGGATTAAAATTAAGAAAGATGAGAACAAACAGGAAGTGACATAGTTGATCCTAATCTTGGTAAGAAAACAAAGTTTACCAAGGTAGGTGTAGTGTAAGAACAAAGTTTTTGTACACATAAAGGTAGTTTGTGTATAGCTATGGCTTCCGCAAATCTCAGAATACGTCCCTGACTGTTTCTACATAAAACTTTGAAAGCTGTTTGAACATTAACTTTGTGACCTGTTTCTACGATATATTTAGCTATAGATGAAGAGGGTCATCTCTCACCGGTGTTCATCACTGTTTCACACTCCATTTGTTTTTGAAGCCATTTAGTCACATGTTCTCCCACCGTCAACTGCATAACTCGATTACTCCTCCCTATGTATGTGTGACCACACACAAACATGTAAATTGGTAAACACAATGGGATGTGATGTAATTAATGATGCAGTGTTTAGGTTGTTGGTGAAGCATGTGTTTTGTTTTTTCCGCAATGATAAGATTCGCCGCGTAATATGTTTTCTTAATGGGTGATAATCAGCCTACGTCTCAAAATATTATTTAACTCCCCTTTGTACGGTAGAGTGATATGGACACTTTTCTGAAGGATCGCGTATAGAGTTGGCTTTGGTGCTACTTGACCTCTACAACGGTTTATAAACTTCACCAGATATCCACTTTCCATAAGTGCTTTGATCAGTAATTTCATGTCTTCATCCATCGCATCTGGTGTACTGATACGATAGATCCTATTAAACAGGCATTTTATTAGATCCAGCTTGTATTGGATTGGACAAAAACTGTGAAAATTCAGGTAGTCCTGTCCATGTAGGCTTTGTGTAAACTGACCGTCTTATTGAACCATCTTCTCGTCTACTCAGGAGTATATCTAGGAATGGCAGTTGCTTGTTATTCTCTTTCTCACAAGTCAGGCTGATGTAAGTTTGTACGGTGTTAAGTCTGTTTGGTAGACAAACCATATCCTCATGCCTCTCATAAATCACTTTGGTGTCATCAGCATATCTCTTGTAAAGAGGAACTTTAGCGATGAGATCACCAGCCAGATTTTCGATATATGACATATAAATATCAGCTAGTAGGGGTCCTAAGAAACTACCCATAGCTACACCGTCAACTTGTCGAAAGCGTTCGCCTTCAAATGTGAAGTGGATTTTGTTGATACACAGCAATAATAGCTCCTTCAGAAAGGTTGGAGTAATACGAAATGGGAGGTTTTTAGAGGATATGCAGTCACAGAGAATGCTAATAGTCTTGGACAATGACACGTTAGTGAATAAGGAATTTACATAGAAAGAGTACATAATCTTGTTTTTTATATTCATGTTACTAAGACAGTAAACAATTTGAAAAGAATCTTTCAATGAAAACTTACAGAATTCTTTTCGAACTGGATTTAACATATTTACCGACCATTTCGCCAGTTTCTGTGTGGGGGAACGACACATAGACAATATAGAGCGTAAGGGATCATTAACTTCATGAGTCTAAGGTAATCCATATAAATTTGGAAATTCGCATCCCATAAGTTTCAATGACTTAAATTCCTCTTTGCTAATGGCATTCATATTAAAAAGCTTCACTAAATGAGCGGTTACTTTTGCTTCCAATTTTCTAATATCTTCTGATGGGACATCGACTACGAATTCGATTTGCGGAAGCCATAGCTATACACAAATTTAAACTACCTTTATGTGTACAAAAACTTTGTTCTTACACTACACCTACCTTGGTAAACTTTGTTTTCTTACCAAGATTAGGATCAACTATGTCACTTCCTGTTTGTTCTCATCTTTCTTAATTTTAATCCCCTATTGTGTTAATTGTTGTATTTGTCCCTCCAGTCCTCGGTCTAATGTATATTGACTTGACAAGTAAATGTGTGATCAAATTGTTCGAAATGTATTGTGCGAATACATCACATTGTTCAGATAAACATCGTCTTCGCTATCGAAATTCATAAAAGGGACTAGCTTTTTCGAATAAAAGACATATCATAAGGTCGGTGAAATCAAGCAAATGGGAAGGGAAGAAAGACATTTGTCAGTTTTGATGTAATTGACTTAGTGATGGCCAATAGAAGAGTGTGTCCTTGATAGAGTTTCTAAGCGTCAATTCAATCAGTCTCTATATATCGCCAGAAAGCAATCAATGAAGGTCTAAAGAAGTAATTGACGGGGATAAAATTGCATATACATGAATAACACTTCCAAGTTGGGTGCCTAACCTGAGAAAGTTTGAATCATTCTTACTCAGTCTTTTTAAAGTACTGTAGGTTAAAGATTAATGGGTTCTAGAAATTAGTGTGTGGGAAACCTTTTCGTAATAATTTTTTGAAGGGGTAATATCTATTCGCCATACTTAGCGTCCGAAACAGATATTCATCGGAATCCTAGGAAAGACTTTTTCGTTCAAAGATAAGAATTTCAAGTCAAAATATACTAATCAGACAACAGATTCGACTAGTCAAGAAGTAATTCCATGCACTGACCACATGATAACGTATACACTGACTTTTTTGAAAACATTTCTTTGTCGAACCAACTTTTATGCATCGACTTTACTCAAAATCTATCGGGAAAAAAATGAAAACAGAGTAGAGCTGGAAGGAAAAATGATATTTTCTTTAGTGTTGCTTTTTCAAAGTTGACAGTGTATCCTGATCCTGAGAAGCACATGTATAGTTTGCTAACACGCCACTGCCTAATGCAGTTTTAAGATACCTAACAAATGAATACATGATTACACAAGTTTTTTTCTCATGCCAAGTCAAACACTGAAGCCCAATGTTCCACTAGGAACCCAAGGGACAAAAATAATAATAAGTGAAACACATTCATCGCAAGAAACTGTGAAGTGCCAGGCCTTCATTATTAATAGGCGAGAGAATGGGAGTTAATACCACAGAAATTGCACTAAATGTTCCCGATAGGTTTGTGTGTTAACGCCTACAGCAGCATAGGTGTTTGATGACTTACTATATGTGTACAAAACTTGAGTAGTGTGGCAGAATGTATTCCAATATAAGATTTCTCCATTGGATTAATAACACACGGTGATCTGGTATAATTATTTACTTGACGACGTTTCGAGTGTACATTACTGCTCACAACCATATCAAGGTAATCCCACCACGTTCAACAGTCGACTTTTATACATTTGTCATCTTACATTCTTTGCTTTTATTAGTAGTAAAAATTTCCATACTTTTGTTATACGTGTTGCGTCGTTCCTATTACATGTGTTGGGTGCTGATTCGATGAACAAAGATTCAGAAATCAATCTCTGTCTCCACTTAATTACATTTGACTTTGTTCATCGAATCAACACCTAACATATGTAATAGGAATGATTAAACAAATTCGTACGAATATACAAGAAACGAAATAATAACAGTTACACAAGTATGACTAATAACGACAACATGAGTAGAAAGGAGTTCACAGTCTCCATCGTGTTACCCTAGAAGGAAGGTACATCAGAAACGTTACGTAAGATCCTCAAAAAAGCTTGAATTAGGGTGGTATTTAAACCTACTAACTCACTCAGAGGTAAGCTTTGTCGGCTGGCTTAAGGATCCAATAAATTCGGTTAGGCAAAATAATCTAATCTATGTAATGACTACGAGGTCAAACTAGCCGATCGGGGTCAGTTAGTATAGCGGAACATAGGAACTTAGTCAAATATAGAATGACAGATCCGAATAAGATAAATAATCTAGAAGATAACACGGCTATTGCAATGCATGCATTAACACAACCACACAATAGCTTGGGTGGGGTAAAACCACTGTACTTAAGTTCACTATAATTAGGTGGAGAGAGACTGATTGCTGAATATTTGTTTATCGAATCAACACCCAGCACATGTAGTGGAAATGACGCAACACATACCACAGATATGGAAAATCCTACTACCAATAAAAACAAATAATATGAGGTGACAGGACTATAAAAGTCAGATGTCGAAAGTAGTGTGATTATGAGCAGTAATTTATGCTCTATACATCATCAAATAAATAATACTGTATCACTGTGTGTTATAAATCAAATAAATAAGTCTGATCGAGGATTCATACACAGTATATCTTAACATGGTTACTAATCTTAGACATGCCATTCAGGAAATCGCAATTAATCATTAGCATACTTTTTTTGATAAGAAATAAAGCGCTTCACTGATGAACTCATTATCGAACTGGACAGAAATGTGGAGCAGTACACGATGTTGTTTAACAACAGAAAAGGAATATCAAGTATGAAAATCCCAGTACACAATTACAAGTGATACAGAAGTGGGAGACAGCGTAATCATAGGAAGTATAACATCACACAAGATCGGCATATCAAAAAACCTTATCTTCACAAGTAACACAATCAAAAAGTGTGTTTTACAATTTGAAGCGATTTCGCGCACCTAATCAGTTAGTTTCAGATTATATTCCGATTTCCGATAGATACGGGTGGTAATTACACTTCGTGTACAAATTAACCATCTTATTATATGCAAGGCACCATTTAGTTTAGTTTTCTTAGTGTCCATTTAACTAATTTTGCCTGACAGAAATACAAACCATTCAGCGACTGCGTGATATACCAGAAATAGACTGATAGTATCAACAGTTAAATGACAGGTGTAAAACATAATTCCGTGTGTAGAAGGTAAGTATTACACTCAAGTTACAAGAGGTAGCATATAATTATGCCTAAGAAATAAGAACTAGCACACAATTCATCGACGTTAATTCAGAGACCAAAGAAATACACCGCATATCAGTGTTTAGTTCTACTTGCATTATTTATTCAAAGCATGAT